ACAGTTAAAATAAAATTTAGGGCCTGGGAAAATGGCTCAGTGAGTAGGAGCATTTGCTGTGTAAGTGTGAGGACTTGTGCAGATCCTTCAGATCGTGTTTAAAGCCATGTGTGCTCATGCATAGGCTGCAACCCCAATACTGGGGAGTGTGGAAAGCAAAGGAATACCTGGGACTTGCTGGAACTTTTAGAGGACACTATACATCCTCCTCGGCCTCCACACACACAGCTTCCAGGATACACATACACTGCACATGTATACCGCACACACAAATCAAAAAATGTTTAGTGTAGTGATAATAACACATCCTGACAAGAATGTTGAGAAATTGCTTTCCAAGTACATTACTGGTGGAATAGTAAAATGGTACAGCTATTCTGAAAAACAGATTTGGCAGTTTATCTCTCTCTCTTTTTCTGTCCCTATCTTCCTGTCTTTGTCTCTCTCACACACAAAGACACACACGTTATTATATATCTAGAAGTCACATTTCTGACCATTTATTTATCTCACAAAATAAAAAAGCTTTTATATATACATGGGAACTTGAATATGTCCATAGTAACTTTATTTATAATACACCCAAACTAGAAACAACCAAAAAGACTAACAACACATGAATATAATATACATATAATATTGTACATTCCTACATGGAACACTGCTAAGCAATAGACAGCCATTAACTGCTGATACATCCAACAACTTGCTTCCACATCCAGTATATTTGAATAAAGGAAATGAGCCAATCATAAAAGGCGATTGTATCAAGAGTCCATTTCTGTCCTGTCTCAAAAGGGCATATATGATAGCAATATGTAAGCCAGAAAAAAAATTCTGTGGCTATTAGGGCTTAGAGATGTAGAGGAGAAGGGCTTGGGTGTAACTTAAGAGTACAACTAGAGGCCTTTTTGGTAGTTTGGTTGCATGGCAGCATGCAAAGGCGTTTATAGCTAGCTCTTGGTTTTGAAGTGCAGGCACCATATACTAAGTGTAGTCACTAGGGAACAGTGACTGATGCGTGACTGATGTGTGGGACTTCATTGTATCATCTTGTCGTTTCCTACAAATGCAGACATTTCAAAAGAAAATGCTTTTGAAAATTGCTGTACTGTGAATTGAACTGAGGGAGCCTTGCACATGTTAGGCAAGCAGTCTACCACGGAGTTATCCTCCAGCTTTTTTTTTTAAAACTTTTTGTTTGGTAAGAGTCTCACTAAATTGCCTAGTCCAGGTAGCCCTTGAACTTAGAACCTTCCTGTCCCAGCCTTACAGGAGCTGTTGTTACTGACCTTTGCTACCAGACTGGGTCAGCTCTTCCTGCTTTCTGTTCACTTCTGAGAGTAAAAGTATTCACTTCCTCATTCAAGACAAGACTTTATCCATACTTTACAATTTGTGTAGCCTTCTACCTCCTCTATAGATTTTCTTCACTGATATATGTAGCACATATCCAATGTTTCCCTCATGTGTATTTTTCTTCATTGTCAGCTGTAGACTTGCCCCATCCTAACTAAGATGATAAACAGAAGCATAACGGTTATACCATCTGTGACATCTCCATCTGTGACGTCTCTTGAGTCGAGTTGGCATAGAAAAAATATCTCATTCTTTTTAACTGCTGTGTGCTATTTCATAATAGAAACACGTTATAGGGTCTGGAGAGATGGCTCAGAGGTTAAGAACACTCACTGGCTTTTCTTCCAGAGGTCATGAGTTCAATTCCCAGCTCACCACCATCTGTAATGCGGTCTGGTGCCGTAATGTGGTCTGGTGCCCTCTTCTGGCATGCAGACAGAACGTAATAAATAATGTATTAAAAGGGGGCGGCTGGGCAGTGGTGGCACACGCCTTTAATCCCAGAACTTGGGAGGCAGAGACAGGTGGATCTCTGTGAGTTCAAGTTTAGCCTGGTCTACAAGAGCTAGTTCCAGGACAGGCTCCAAAGAAACCCTGCCAAGAAAGAAAGAAAGAAGGAAAGAAAGAAAGAAAGAAAGAAAGAAAGAAAGAAAGAAAGATGTTATAATCTTTTATTTTTTTTAAAATTTATTTATTTATTAAAGATTTCTGTCTCTTCCCCTAATCTTTTATTTATTTCACATTTCCAGCCTTTTCATTCTACCTTCAGCTTTGTTAGTATGATTCTTTTTTTTAAAAAGATTTATTTATTTTATATATAAAACATTCTGCCTCCATGTATACCCACAGGCCAGAAGAGGACACCAGATCTAATATAGATGGTTGTGAGCCATCTATAATATATATGTGTGGTTGCTGGGAATTGAACTCAGGACCTCTGGAAGAGCAGCCAGTACTCTTAACCGCTGAGCCATCTCTCCAGCCCCCTTAGTTTGATTCTTTATGCCCACAATTTCAGAGCTTTCCTTGATTAGATATCTGTAAGTGGAATTACCATGTAATAAGTTTCATGCAGTTTTTACTTTATAACATACCTACTAGCTTTGTATTGTCTGATAGCTTCCTATATTTATTATACCAGTTTACACCACCTGTGTCAAATGTTTTCTGGTTCTGCATGTTAAGTATTTGCTTAGTTCTTCCTTTCCTAGTACCTATCTAGAACTTGTTATAAAGTCTAACAGATTTTACCATGCAGGTTTCTATGGCCATGTGACTGAACTTTCCCAGTGTTGTCTGATATTAGAAGATAAGCAGAGTCTTGTTTGCTTAGTGTTGGATGAGAGGTTTTACCGCTATAATGTATATTTACATATATATGTTATATATAATCTGTAAATTATATAGTATGTATTTTCTCTATTTTTATAAATCTGCACATATGTAATTTTCTCTACTCTGACTAGTCAACATATTAAAATGCATTATTTTTGTAGCTTTCCTATTCATCTGTTTGTTTCTTTTTTTCAAGACTCTAATTACAGAATCCTATTATTTCTTAAACTAGCTCAGTAGACAAAAATCCACAATATCCTTCTCAGAAAGTCATTGCTGGCCTAGTGATGGTGGCGCATGCCCTTAATGCCAGCACTCGGTAGCCAGAAGTAGGTGGATGCCTGTGAGCGCCACGCCAGCCTGGTCTACAGAGGCCATTCCAGGACAGTTATGACTGCTATACAGAGAAACCCTGTCTTGAGAATCAGAAAGATGCCAGGCGGTAGCTGTACATTCCCAGCTCTTGAGGCACAGGCAGGAGGATCTTTGTGAGTTTGAGACCAGCCTGGTCTACAGAGCGAGTTCCAGGATAGGCTCCAAAGCTACAGAGAGACCCTGTCTTGAAAAATAAAATATAAACTATAAAAAGATAGCCAAAACGAAAATAAAAAAAGGAATTCATTCCTGTTCCAGTTTGTCCTATTAAAACCATTAGGTCTGTATCTTTGTATGAGCATATGTGGGTGTGCATATGCCATGGCCAGTGTGCAGAATCAGAGGACGAGTTGGCCCTCTCCTTCCTCTGTGTGGGTTCTGGCATCGAACAGATTGCTTGACAGCCACACCTTTACCCACTGACCATTTGTCTGGTCCTTGTTTTTAGATCCGTTAGCCAATTCTTATTCTAAAAGCAAACCACAGCCTCAAAAACCATACTTGTACTTTTGAGGTGCCTTGATTTTTACTTTTCTCTCTTCTGTACTGGTCTTCATGGCATTTTATTTAAAGAAAGGACTCCTCCTTAAACCATTAAAATTGTTCCCTTTAGGTACTTAACATTTCCCAATGTATTATAGAAGGATTATTAGTCCTTCCCTTACTTCTTGCTTGACTATTAATTTCCAAAGAAAAATTCATATGAATGAGGCTTTAAATAATTAAGCAGGAGGTAGTCAGTAGATTTGGGTACCACATTGGGCTATCAATGGTTTAGTGTTTCATGACTCATGAGATGTTGTAGTATCAAAATGACTGGAATGAGTACGTTAATGTACTTTGTTCTCTCTCTCTCTCTCTCTCTCTCTCTCTCTCTCTCTCTCTCTCTCTCTCTCTCTCTCTCTCTTTTCGAGACATGGTTTCTCTGTAGCTTTAGAGCCTGTCCTGGAACTCAACTCTGTAGACCTGTACACCAGGCTAGTCTCGAACTCATAGAGATCCGCCTGCCTTTGCCTCCCATGTGCTGGGATTAAATGTATACGTCACCACTGCGTGGCTATTTTTCCTTTTCTTTTCCATTCTTCCCTCCCTCCCTCCCTCCCTCCCTCCCTCCCTCCCTCCCTCCCTTCTTTTTGATTTTCCAATACAGGGTTTTTGTGTAGCTAACCCTGGCTGTCTTGGAACTTGCTCTATACACAGATTGGTCTTTAACTCAGAAATCCACCTGTGTCTGCCTCCCAAATGCTGGGATTAAAAGTGTGTTCCCCATTGCCAAATCATAGTCTTAATCTTTAATGCACAGAAGATTCTGGTTGGTAAGTTTGGCTGGGTCTGAGAGTTTGCGTTTTGTAAAAGTCCTTTCAAGGGCTTTTGGCTGTCCCCTGTGTTTGATTAGCTAAGAGTCCAATAAACTGAGTGGTCCCCCGTAGAGTTGCTCCCTTCGCTCCAAATAAAAGTAATGTTTTCACATTGATATAGACTTTGGTTTTGTTTATTTCTGTACAGTTTCATTGATATTTTGCTCATTAATGGAGATTTGTGCATTTCAGTAAGTATTGATTATTGGTTAGTTATTGCTCTGAGGTTCTAACATCTGTTTAAAACCATCCCTCTGGGTCAGCATCATGATGCTTGAGCAGTGCAGGTTAACAGAGGACTTGGGTTGTGCTCCATCAGTGTGCTTCCCTGCTGAGTGATCCCCTCAACCTCCAGAGTTTATAGTGGCCTCAACAGCTGTGAGCCAGTCACAGGCAGCTCCCAGAAAGTTGAGCTTCACAAAAGCAGTATTTCATTCATTTTTCTGGTAGAACTAGAATTCATAATTACTCTTTGTTATTTTTAGGATATTATTCTAATTTAGACATAAGTGTGATACTAACATGGCAATAGGAAACAACTTCTAGTTTAACTTTGGCCATTTGTCGCTATAGGCACTGTCCTTTCCACCTCTGAAAGGCAAGAGTTGGTGCCCACAGCCTTGTCTGCACTGGAGGTGAGTGGAGACCAGTGCCTCTGAGTGGACAGCCAATGGGATGGATGGTCTGTGCTTAACTAGATGGTACTTCAAAGGGTGAAAATGGACTGGGTGTTCACACTTCAAGTTTAGTAATGCCAAATAAATCATAAATCTTTGAGTAAAGTTTCAGAATTATTTCATTTCTGACAAATGCATTTAGTAATCAACATATTGTAGAGCCCAATGTAAAACCTTTTGGGAGAAATGTGGTTTTTATTTAGAAACATTAAACTAATTTTCATGCTGATAGTTAATATACAGCCCTATATTATTACATGTAATAATTATCAGTAGTAGAAAGTTCTAGAGGACTTATTAAAAGTAAAAATTTAATTAATATTTCTTAATTCTTACTCATCATTCACATTGTACTGAAAGTGTGCATATGGAATTTACATTAAACGTTGGTCAAATTTTCCCACCAGATCTAACTCGTCTTTAGAAGTCACCCTTTTATGTTTTTTTCTGGTTGCAGCCATTGATTTTCTTTTTAAAGGTACATTAATAGTGCTGATGAAGCAGTGCATTAAAAATAAATGTGGGGAATAAAAAGCAATGCTGTATAATATTAGAGTCTCGGTTTTCCTTTCCCAGTAAATTCTTCAATCTAAAGGGCAAAAATACTGAAGCAGTCGAGGGAAAAAAAGGCCAAAGAAGGAACAAATGATGCAAAAAGAAAATGACACTGAGGTCCCTGTTTAATACACATGTATTTCAGGTTGATAGTTGCTTTCATTAGCAGATCTCATTGTTATGCAACGTCTGTTCCTCTGCAGCAAAATGGATTTTGTATTCACAGGCCCTGAGTGTGTATCTTCTCTTAGGTACTGGAAAGGACATCTTTCTTTGGTTTACTTTTACCATTTTGTTAAGGAAAAGAAGGAAAATTGAATTACATTCTTTTGTTGGTAAATTTGTTTTTAAAACACCTTTAGATTTGTATTATGAATGTTTTCTATTCTCTAGTGTAAGCAATTATAAGATGGCTAGTAATGCAAACATGTTAATTAAATAATTTTTTTATATTTATTGAGCTCTTCATTTTTCTCTGCTCCCCTCCCTGCCTCTCCTCTTCCCTCTTCAATTCTCCCCCAAGTTCCCCATGCTCCCAATTTACTCAGGAGATTTTGTCTTTTTCTACTTTCTACTCCCCATGTAGATTATATCTATGTAAGTCTCTCTTAGTGCCTGCATTGTTGTCTAAGTTCTCTTGGATTGTGGTTTGTAATTATAATTTTTAATTGAATAACAAGCTCAATTTTTTATTAGGTATGTAAGCATATGTTTAACCTTTTTGAATATTGGGAATGATTTTTTTATTGCAAGAAAATATGATAAGTTCTGAAAGCTGCTACCTTTTGCAATAGCAAAAATTGTATATAGAGAGCATCACAACTTGAGTTTTCGTAAAATAGATCTGAAATCTGTTTTACATTTGAGGTGAACAGTAGACAGCAATGCAGACAGGCCGAGTGCCTACAGCCAGTGAATACAGGCATGGATCAAACTGGAGTGGACACAGCTGGCATTCAGGCATTTTGCAGTTTGATAGTACTTTACTAAGTCCCTTGGTTTGGGGTAATGTTCTCAAAAATTGTCCCCACATGAGAATCTGGGTTTGTGTAAGTACGAATTAGTTTTGTCACATGCAAAAAATATGTGTTGTAATAACTGACCTTTTGGTTCACTTAATGCAATCCTAACAATATCTTGGCTACACTGACGAAACAGGATGTTACAATATGTACAACAGGTTATTAATGCAGCATTTTGAGTTAATTTGTACTGAGGGTGTTTGCTACATATTGAGTTCTATTCATTGTGAGCAATGTTCTAAGCTATTAGAACTTATTATTAAACTTGGTGAAGGAAAGGTTTGTGGGCTCAAATGAGAGAGAGAGAGAGAGAGAGAGAGAGAGAGAGAGAGAGAGAGAAAGAGAGAGAGGATGATGAGAGTGAGAGAAGCGATGGGCAGCAAAAGAATACTCTGGGCAGTCATAGGACATAAAGTTAGCATCTTTACGAGACACAGAGACTCACTCCACTGTGGCTGTTTGATTTGCTATTTATTACATATTTATTTCTCATGAAAATCAGAGTATAGTTGTGATGAATTTTTAATTGTATTCAATCCAGGTACGTAGCAGTTGACAGGGAGTAATATTTCAGGGTTTTCTTCTTTTGATGATGTAATTGGGTGTTTCTGTATTCTTCGTTTTGTTGTCTTTCCCCAGATTAGTAACTTAAAAAAGTAAGCTCTGCATGTGCAAACACAAACGCTAATTTCTTCAAGCTCCATGTGGAGATGGGTTTGTCTCCCAGAATTAGGAATGCCAGACTGAATAGGAATAAAATTTATCATAGCTTCGCTCACAGCCAGACAAGTGGAACAAGCCCATGAAAGGCCATAGATGCAAGAGGGGCTGGAGTTCTCTGTGAAGTACCTGCGTTTACATCCTAAAGTCTTCTTCCCGCCTTTCTGAAGCCACACCTTTCCCTGAATACTAATATACTCAGCCTGTAGGACAGACTAAATTTGGATCATGAAACTGAATTTAGCTGGGCAGTGGTGGAGCATGCCTTTAATCCCAGCACTAGGGAGGCAGAGGCAGGTGGATCTCTGTGAGTTTAAGACCAATCTGGTCTATAGAGTGAGTTCCAGGACAGGCTCCGTAGCTACTGAGAGACCCTATTTCAAAAATCAAAAAGAAAAAAGAAAACTGTGAATTTAATAAAAATATATAAGGATTCAAATGAGATAAATTAGATTTTTTTGGCCATATGACTTATTAAGTCAATTGTCTTTTATTATGTTATGGCTATGGCTTTTGCTGAGGAAATTATAAAGGACGATGACATAGGAAATCCATTTTTCTAACTAAGTTCTGAAAATTGCTGAGAAAAGTTTATTGAAATATCAGATATCAAATTTGTCTTCATTGTGGAAACTAGGTAATTCATTGGGTTTGTGAATTGGCATCTTACGGATGAGAGCAAGGATTTTGGAAATTGTCTGCTTCTCTTGCTGGCTAACTAGAGGTGTAAGCCTAGTATCATGACGTGTATGAACCTAGCGACAGCATTTCTATATTCAGCTTTACCGTGCATTGTACTTTTCTCGCATTGTACTTTGAGACAGTACCTGTATCTTCCTGTATGTAGCTTTCTGTGTGTTAGGACTGCAGGTGTGCTTCCACATCTGGCCATTGGTTTTCTTATTTATCTATAATTAAATGGAAAGACTCTCTTTCCTACTGGTTGTGAGCCCTGCCATGTTCTTCTGTCATAAGATGGGACATCAGTAGTGTTTATTGCAGAACGGTTTTATTTGCTCCTATGTGTGATTGTAAGTCTGGGTGAGTATGATGTGGGTGTGTGCTTACGGGGGCACTGGCCTGACACTGTGCACGTGTGAAGGTGAGAGGGCAAACTTGAGGAATCTGGTCTTCTTTCCTGAGTTTCAGGGATCAAACTGTGACCGTTAGTTCAGGGTGGCAACCTCTTTTATTCACTGAGCCATCCCATTGGCCCTTTCATCCAGCTGTTAGATCTCTTTTAGTATGGTTAGATTTGCCAGGGAGGGGTCTCTTTTGGAGGCTTTTGTCTTTGTAGCCCCCATAATTCCAGTTAGCTATGTTAAATGCACCCTTTGCAAGTATCCCAGTGAGAAGATGGGATGAAATGCACCTGAGGAAGGGAAAAGAGCCTTTTGTCATCTAAGTCACATGCTGCTGTGTATAGCCACTGTCCCTTTGTCTCAATTATAAGGTCTCTTTAGAATGCGCTCAATTCTCTCTCTCTCTCTCTCTCT